CATTGCTTTCAAAACTCTAAATAAGAAGGCCATATACATAACATGGATAAGCACACGGGCAAGACAGAGAAGGGGAAGGAGGAGGTCCACTACCGGGGAGTCCGGAGGCGGCCGTGGGGGAAGTACGCGGCGGAAATAAGGGATCCGTCGAGGCAAGGGGCGAGGCAGTGGCTTGGGACTTTTGATACGGCGGAAGAAGCAGCAAGAGCGTATGACAAAGCTGCCTTTGACATGAGAGGACACCTTGCAATCCTTAATTTCCCCAACGAATACTATGCTCAAGTACGAGGCTCCCCACCATATCCTCCCTATTTAGCATCTTCTTCTTCTTCTCCGGCTTCTTCGTCGTCGTCTTCGTCTTCACCTTTTCATGGTCATGCAAGTGGAAGACAAGTTCTCGAGTTTGAGTGTTTGGATGATCAGGTGCTGCAAGACCTTCTTGAACCAGAAGATCAAAAGAAGAAAAGTGGAGGAGGTTGATTCTGTTGGGCTATAAACCACTTCGTTTCAATCTCTCTTCCTTTCGTCCAGTTCTTCCTTTTTTGGTAGTGAACAGTTCTGATTATTGGAACTGTCTTTATGAAGATCAGATTGATACGAAAAAGGGGAGAAAAACTTGTATTGGGGTATTGTTATTGTCCGTTAACTTTACTGTGAATGAACAGAGTCTGAAAATGAAATCTACAGTTTCCCATTATTGTACTCGTCTTGTTTATGAGATCATGTTCGTAGGTGCCTTAGAAAAATCTATCGGAGAACTGCTTTGAATCCTGAGTAAAACAATATAATTATTAAAAAATTTCAGTGAGAAGGATAAGTTTTAGAATAGTAAATGATGATTCTTCACTTGTTATTAAGACTTATAAGTAATTATTTTTTTTAATCTTATGATCTCATTATAATTCTCTCCAAATCTACTAATTTCCCCCTCGGATTTCACGTAATTATAGTGTCTTAAGCTTTTGAAAAAATTAATCTTTTGGTCCTTCAAGTTTTAACTCACTTAGTTCCTTAACTATGACTCAGTGTATTTAAACTTTTAACTCTTTTACTCAGTTCTTAACATGTACTCCACTTAAAAATTGTATCCCTATTAGGGGTGTTCATAGGGCCCGCATGCCCGGTGTGCCCGCCCGAGCCCGGGAAAAAAATGCCCGGCCCGGCCCGAAAAAATGTAGCCCAAACAAAAAAAGAACACTTTTGGGCAGGGCCCAACACGGGCAGGGCCGGGCGGCGGGCAGGGTACCCTGCCCTGCCCGTTTGGCCCTGCTTGGAAGTTTTTATTTTTTATTTTTTATTTTCACTTCCACTCTCCACTGCCACTGACCACTCGTCCACTCCACTCCATCAGTCCGCCTTTAATCACTCCATCAGAAATTCAGAACCCTACCCATTTACCCAACGCGGCAAGTCGGCACACGGTTACTCCCCCCGACTTTCAGTTCTGAGTAGCTCCGACGCTCCCCTGCCTCTCGGTCTCGGAGACTCGGACTCTCGGTCTCTCCCCTGCCTCTCGGTCTTGGTCGCTCCCCTGCCTCTCGGTCTCGGTCTCGGTCGCTCCCTCCCAGTGCAGTCTCCCACCTCCGCGTGCTGTGACTGCTCACTGCTGTCTCTGATTCGAAGACTGAAGCTCGCCGAATACTCCAGCTGAACGAGTCGTTGCTCGCCTGGATCTTGCCTCTCGCCGAGTAGTCTCTCCCAGTCTCCCACCTCACCTTGCTGTCTCTCCGATCTGAAGCTCATCGAGTAGTCTCTCAGTATCTCTCGGTCGCTGTCTCTTCAATCTCAAGCTCGCCGAATACTCCAGCTCAACGCCTCAACCACCATCACGTCTCTCAGTCACTCGTTGCTCCACGGCTCCAATCTCCACTCGGTGAGTTGCGACAGCACGGATTCCTTTCTCCAGTCTCCACGCATGTCTCTGTAACATATGATTGTATTTGATTCTGGTTTGATTCAGTCGCCTGATTGTGCCATTTGATTCTGCTTGGATTATTTCTGATTTTCTGTTTCACAATTCATATAATGCTGTTTCTATGGAGGTGCATGAGATATTCAGATTCAACATCTAATGCTGTGTTTTGTAATTGTATCTACAAGCTCATGCCTGCCGTGTCTATTCAAAAAAAATAGCTGATGTAATGCCATGTTCATTTTAGTTTGCAAGAATTTGAGATGACTCAATTATGGTTCTGCTGCTTCAGTGCTTCTACCGTGAAATGAGTGGCAGAGTATTTGGTCATTGCTCGATTTTAGTTTCCAAGCATTGCTCGATTTTAGTGGCAGAGTATTTTAGTTTCCAAGTATTTGGTCATTGCTTCTACCGTGTCTATTCAAAAATAATTCATGTAATTACTGCCATGTTCGTTTTAGTTTCCAAGCATTGCTCGATTTTTTTTTTAATAATTCGTTTTAGTATTTGGAATAGAAGAATCATTTTAAATGAATCAATTAAATCAAATGGTATATCATGAGCTGTACTTTATATTAGTATATTATTGTATCAATTCAAATTTCTTGCCATGATTCATTTCTCACAGTATTTCTTCAGTCTCCACTTGTGTTTGTATGATATAATGCTATTTGATTCTGCTTTGATTCATTTGAAATTTCTGCTATTTGATTCTGCTCCTATTCATTTTAAATTTCTTGCTATTGGTTCAATCATATGATATTGCAGCTGCAATGGACGATGAAACTTCTATTACATCACCATCCCCGGTTGTTGGTGGAGGGTCTCAAGCTGCTTCAGCCCCTCTTCAAACACCAATCTCTATTGGACCTAATCAAACACCAAATCCTAATAGACCTAGTGAAGTTGCTGCCCCTAGCCCTATTGTTCCTGTTCAACCTCCATCTCATCCTGTCCTCCCTCCCCTTGCTCCTTCTCCTACCCCTACTCCCCCACAAACAAATTCTGTCACACCGGAAACAAGTATTGATGAAAGGGGTACAAAGAGAAAGGCAAGAGAAACTAAGCACACATCAGAGGTTTGGGAATATTTTGTTAGATTGCCAATAGAAGAAACTAATGGAGTTCACTTAGCAGCTTGCAAGTATTGTCATACTACTTATAAAGCTGATCCAAACCGTCATGGGACAAATTCTTTATTAAGGCATATCCCAAAATGTTCAAAGAACCCTCATAAAGCCACTACAGATAAAAAGCAATCTATGTTAACTCTTTTGTCGGGCAAGACTAGTGGCCAAGGAAGATCTTTAGTTACACATGTATATGATGAGAAGCGATGTAGAAGAGCTTTAGCTGAATTTATTATCTGTGATGAGCAACCATTTAGAATTGTGGAGAAGCCTGCATTTAAGAAATTGTTGAATGAGTTTGAACCTCGCTTTCCAGTCCCATCAAGAACAACAATTGGAAGAGATGTGTGGCAATTATATCTTGGAGAAGTTAAAGTATTGAAGAAATTTTTGAAACAGAGTACTAAACGTGTTTGTCTCACCACAGATTGCTGGACATCAAATCAGAATTTCAATTACCTATGCTTGACAGCACATTTTGTTGATGATGAATGGAAGCTTCACAAAAGAATTCTCAATTTTGTTATGATTGAAAATCATAGAGGTGATACTATAGGGAGGACCATTGAGCAATGCTTGTTAGATTGGGAGATTGAGAAAGTGTTCACTATCACTGTGGATAATGCCTCAGCTAATGACTCAGCTTTGGGATATCTTAAGAGACGTTTGAGGAGTTGGAAGGGCTTACTTTGTGATGGTGATTATCTACAATTAAGATGTTGTGCACATGTCCTAAATTTAGTGGTCAATGAAGGTATTAAAGAAATGAAAGACAGCTTTGAAGCCATTCGAAATGCTGTGAGATATGTTCGTTCTTCTCCTTCACGCTTCCTAAGATTCAAAGCTTGGGCTGAAGCTGAAAAAATAGACACTAAAAGTCTTGTTTGCCTTGATGTATCCACTCGATGGAATTCAACATACTTAATGTTAGAAGCTGCAATGAAGTTTCAAAAAGTGTTTGAGCGAATGCGTGATGAAGATGATGACTATATTTCATACTTCAGCTCAAACACTTCAAGCTTTAGGCGTGAGCGTGGGGCTTCTAGTTCTGCTAGGCGTGAGCAAGATAGCTTTTCTGGTCCTGTTACTGATGATTGGAATAATGCTCGGATTTTCATCAAATTCTTGAAGGTCTTCTATGACATAACATTGAAATTTTCAAGCTCCCTTTCTGTATCGGCAAATGAATGTTTCCACCAGATTGCTCGGGTTCAGAAAATGCTGCAAAGAAATATCACAAATAATGCTAATAGCTTCTTGAGAGAAATGAGCACTAGCATGCAGGTGAAGTATGACAAGTATTGGGGTCAAGCAGACAATATGAATCCATTGCTTTTTGTTGCTGTCATTTTGGACCCTCGGTATAAACTAGCATATGTGAATCATATGTTTGATCTTCTTTATGCTGATCCTGAAGTATGCTTGATTATGAAGGAGAGGGTTAAAGATTGTTGTATCGGTTGTTTAATGAGTACTCTGCTGGGGTTTCTATTGACTCAGGGACTACCTCCACAAGCACAGCAGGTGCAACATCATTGCCTTCTTTTGATGATGATGATGATGATGGTGAAGAGGATCCAGGTCATAAGTGGTTAGAATCTATGAAACAAAGAACCTCAACAGATCCTCAAACTGAGTTAGATAGATATATAACAACTGACTCGAGAGATGAAATCCCTTCTGCAGCTGAGTTTGACATATTGTTATGGTGGAAAGCTAATTCAGAAAAATATAGAATTCTCTCACACATGGCACGAGATGTATTGGCTATGCCAGTTTCTACAGTGGCTTCTGAGTCTGCCTTTAGCACCGGAGGACGTGTGGTTGATCATTATAGAAGCTCTTTATCTTCTAAGATGACAGAAGCACTAATTTGTAGCCAAAATTGGCTACAACCTGGGCTATCAATGTCTGAATTTGTTGACAAGCTTCGGGAGTTTGATAATTTTGATGAACAGAACATGTCCTTCAACTTGCTAGTAATTTTTTTGCCCTCAAATCTCAATAACTCATATTTTACTTCATAATTTGTAATGTCATTGTTCTTTGATTTTTTGTCCTAGATTCTGCTACACCTGGAGCTGGAGGGGAGAATTTAATGGCTATTGGTAATTGAAGGGTCATTTTATAAACATGACTAGTTAAGCTGGCAAGGTGAATCGGTGCTTCCTTTAAAATCTAGAAGTATATTTTTTTTATTGTTTACTTTGTAATATATTAAACTTTGTTATTTTTATTTGTATTTTTTTCAGGTGTTCCATCCTTTTTGGGAAATTATGGAGATTGATGCAAACTGTTCAATTTTCTAGGCTCCAATTATAATATTGAATCTTGTTTTGAATGGATTATTGATGTTATTCAATTGGATATTTGTTAAGACTTATTTTGGACTATTTTTGAATGATTTTGGTGTGTTAAAATGTAGAATTATGTAATGTGATTTTCAGATATGGATGAAGTTGTTTTTTTTTTATGATTTGAACAGGACATCGGTTTTTGGGCAATGAAGCCCGCCCTGCCCCGCCCTGCCCATGCCCTGCCCAAAATGGTTAGGGCTTCTACGGGCAGGGCTGGGCACCGAGCTGCATTTTGCGGCCCGCACATAGTTCGGGCTGGGCATCGGGCAGGGGTCGAGCCCTGCCCAGCCCTGCCCACGTGCACCCCTAATCCCTATCATCTATAAGTCAAACTGAGTTATTCAACCTGGCATGAATAAGCTGCCATATAAGAGCCACATCAGCATAAGGAGAGAAGGGGGAAAAGCCTGGGCAATCAACGATGCCAAAGAAGAGGTCGTTGCTGAAGAAGACAACCCAATTCTGACATTGAAACAGTTATCCTTAATAACATAATCACCAAATATGCGAGTTTCGAGTACTTTAACAAAATCGTTAATTCATTTTCTTTAACCAAATTCCATGCTGAAGAAGACAACCCAATTCTGACATTGAAACAGTTATCCTTAATGACATAATCACCAAATATGCGAGTTTCGAGTACTTTAACAAAATCATTAATTCATTTTCTTTAACTGAATTCCATCTTCCATGCTTGATACTTAAAATCACACTAGTGCCCACCCATTGTATAGAAAATGAGTGACCCACATATTGAAAATATGCACTTTGAAATCACTCCGTATAAGGACAACTATTTTACTAAATTACATTCCAAACATATTTTTATACTCATTCGTCCTATGACTATGCAAAACAACCATAACAAAAAAAAAACAAGAAAAAGATCAACACGGTGAAGGAGGAGGATTCTTATTAGTACGTTGTTATGTTCAATTGTTCATATATTTAAAGCATCATTAGGAGAAAAGGACGTCTATTGCCACGACAGAAAACATCTATGCAAGTAGAAAAAATAAAGATATTCTTGGATCCCAGTGCCCATGCTTTTTAATGAGTGGTCATTGAGGATAAATGTTTCAATGTTGGAATTGGGTTGTCTTTCCTGGTAACGGCCTCTTTTTTGGCATTGTTGATTGCCTAGGCTTTTCCCTCTTCTCTCCTTATGCTGACGTGGCTCTTATATGGTAGTTTATTCATGCTAGGTTGGATGACTTAGCTTGATTTATGGATGATAAAAATACAATTTTTAAGTGGAGTAAATATCAATAACTGAGTTTTAAATGAGTTAAAAATTCAGGGATTGAATTACACCGAGTTATAGTTGAAGGACTGAATCACAACTGAGTTAAAACTTGAAGGACAGAAAGATTAATTTTCCCTAAACTTTTTATTGCATTAGTATTTCTTGTCTAATTAGCCCCTTTGGTTTAATTTATTATTTGCATCATTATGGGGACAAAATACGGCTATTAACTCAAAAGGAAGCACAAATTAAGTAGCAATCGGCAATCGCAAATGAGAACACTATAGAAGGATATTAAGGCCGATTCTCTCACGAGAGTAAAATTAACTGGTGTAATTAAAAGACAAATAACCATTAGTAATTCTCTTAATTTAAAAAAATGGATAAATGAATAAAACTATCCAGCACACAGATCACTAATACTATGATGACACTTGGTTATTTTTAATCCTAACGTTTCATTTTCTCTTTAGCCCCATTCTCTTTTTATTCTCATACTGCATGGGATAGAAGTGGGTTAGACCTCTATGTGGGGCCTAGGACTTGGCCTGCATAAAACTTAGCCTAGCCTATTTCGTAAATAAGACCGGCTCATAATCAAGCCTATTTAGGCAAACAGGTTATACCTATATATTTTCATGAGGCCTAGTTTACAAGCCTACAAGCCTAGCCTATTGAGTTTTTTTCTTTTTTTCTTTTTTTAAATTTGCGCTATTATATATAACATAATATAAACTACTTATAAAATTCAAACTTTAGTTTGACCCTAAGTTTCACATCACAACATTCCTACAAAAGATTAGCCACCTTTCATTCATTAGCCTTTCACCTTTATCTCTTTTCTTTTTGATCCATCAAAATGGCAATGTTAGCTCACTTTTCCTCTCCATATCTATGTTATTTGTTAATACATAAAAATTGTTGTTAGTTCATTTTAGTGATGTCTAAATGAAATATTATAATCTTAGTAGGAAGAATTTGCCACAACTTATATATGCAGGAAAACCAAAAGAGGTACAATCTAGTTTTACATGCCACTTATTGTGCTTGGTTAATTTTAGAAAATATATCTTTTTAGTCAACAGGTGATTGGTCTTTCTTATTCCTACATCTAAGCTTGCCCGGACTAAGCCAAGGTGTGTCCACACATTAGGGGAGCCCCCATACCTGGACTTTGTCTAAGCTTATTAAACCATACAAGTACCTTAGTCACACATCCTAACACTTACCTGGACCTTGTCCAAACTTGTCAAACCATATAAGCACGTTACCAACACATGCCAACACTTGCCTGGTTTGACAATTGTTATAACTATGTATTCTTTTCTTTTTCTTATTAAACTCTTTTATTGTAAGTGAGAATAGATTTTAGACTTTTAAGATATAACATAAACTTTTAAATAGGTTTTAAGGGTTATATATGAACTTGTAGGCCTATAAAGACCTACATTTTATATAGGTCTTCAAAAAAGCTTTAGGCCTTATCAGGCCTTTTAAAGGCTCAGGTCTAGGCCTTTAAAAAAAAAAACTATATGTAGGCTTAGACCCAAACTCAGGTTTTAGATGTTTATTGTAAGCCCAGGTCTATTTAGCTAAAGCATAGCCTATTTCCATCCTAACTGCATGTTCCACCGGGTGCTGCCTCATATTCAAGCCTAAGAGATTATCCATTCCTGCTCACGCTAGCGCCGTATTCAAATATAACGGCTGATGATTCTCTTTCATATCTCCTTCTCTGCCATTTCAAGTTGCATCATGGGTTTTTTCTTTAAATCCGGTTCACTCTTGACGTTCAACACTCTTAGATCTTCTTCATCTTCTCTGTTGAAAATACTTTTGATGACTTGCACCTTAGATTGTCTAGGCAGTCATGACTTTAAGAAGGAACCAATTTATAATACATGTTTTGGGAATATTTTTGTAATCTCTTTTAATGAGTCTAAACCCCTATATTTTGTTTGAATATGATTGTTTTGGTGTTTCATGACTATGGAAGATGAGACTGAATAATTGATTTTTTTTTCTCAAAAGAAAAACAACATTCTACCTCGGTTAAAATTTAACCAACGTAGAAAGCATTCTATACAACGCTTATTGACGCAAACTAAGTTGCCCATTTTTACTACGCTCCTATAACCAACATGAAAAGTCTTCTTTTACCAATCTAAAAGTATTTTTTGCAATAGTGTTCTCTTAATAATATCAACATTAACTAATCAAATATGGTTTTCATAAATATAATATATTTTTTAATCAACATTCTTATTTATGTTATCCCAATTCTTTGCTCTTGTTGTCACTTTAATGTTTAGCAATTATTTCTACATAGCATCGTTAGTCTTATAAAAAAAAGTTCAATAAAAATTCTCTTTAAGCTATTGAATTTCGTTTTTCTTTGTTCCAAATTAGGGCTCCGTATTCGACAATACGGTATAAGATATGGTCTTCTCCCCCAAATTTGAATCTGAAACCTCTAGATAACAAATCTCGGATATGATATTCCTAATAGAAAAAAAAGATAAATTAAAAGTTAATCGTAGCATATAAGCAAAATACGATCAGAATCTATTGGATTCCTCCTGATCCATCTTATGTATAATTTGTCTTCTGTTTGTGTGTGTTATAAATTCCACACATCACACTTAGTCTTAAACACCCATTAGCCATGAATTAATATCTAGTTAAAGACAATATAATAACGAGAAATACTTAGTGGTTTAATTGGCTTTGTTCGTTGAATTATGCGCTTAACTGCTTTAGCTACCTGTAAACTGTATGTGAATATTATTATTATTATATTGTAAAAGTAAATACAAGTGTAACAAGCCTATGTGACTGGCATTTAAAAAATGATTTTAATTAAGAACGTCTGAGGAGTTCTTACTATTTAGTTTTTGTTCTTTTGACTAGATCCGATCTTTGTTTTTTTCGAATGAACAAATTTGAAAAAGTTTGATATCGACATGGAACAAAGGAATATTAGCTAACGTTATCATGTTCCTCATATGTGCGTGTCTATATATATGCATATATTTATATTGGCACACAAAACATATTATTTGCTCAAAAAGATTATAGAATCTATAAAAAGCCTGATTATATTAATAATAATTTCTTCGGTCAAAAATTTAAAAGTTAAATAACTTTTTTTTGGCCAATTCACATATATAGAAAATTAATTAAATTAATTATTTGTAAACACATATTTTACTAAATATTTTCTTTTTATATATAATCATTTACTCCTTGTTGAGGGGAGATGATTGGGTTTGGTTAAAAAAAAAGGAAGGGAGAGGAATAAATCCCCCCTCCTATCACGAATACAAATTTAAAAGCAGAACTTAATTTCAAAAGATGAGCTATTGAAAAGAAAAAAAAAGCTTTTTGAATTTATAAATCACACTATATGGGTAAAACTTCTTAGGCTAGGGCTTCAACAACTTCCCTTTGGGGCATTTGGATGGAAGGCTTTAATCATATCTTATTGTGACTTGTTTAACCCCTATCATTTTTTTTAATTTTATTTTCACTTTTGTTCTTTACATCGTCAAACAAAAGCCATGGGTTCACTTACACACACACACACATGTATACACATGTATATGCAAAAATGCCTACATCTTGTCTCTCTTCTCTTGTTGCCAAAATGCTTCTTCCATTGATCGATGGCTGGAAATCCATCGGATCTGGAGCTATGTTCAACATAGAGAAA